CCCATAAGGATGCTCTTAAAGAGAGTAGCAACAATTCAGATTTTTCTACATTCATAGACAGGTCTCATATTCAGGGCCCTGTGCACTGAATTTGCTATGGGGCCCCCTCAAAATCACGATGAGTTGCGATCTTAAAATGTAAAATAACGTTCCCACAAGTTCCCCCTTGATGGGTCATAGGGCCTTCAATTGAAGTAAATAAATGAATAAATAAAACAGAACAGAAACAATTAATGATAGATATTACTGAATTCATGACAAATGCTACAAACTTAATAATGCATTTTTGTCACATAGAAAAGCACTTGACAGTAAAGCATTGATATTGAGCTAGACTGCTGGAAAGTTACTGCTAATAAATTCTGTCATCATTTCCTCAATGACTTTCCAAATGACTTTATTCTGTTGAACACAAAAGAGGATTTTGTAGAATGTTACCAAACCATTATGGTTACCTTTGATCTCTACTGTATGGACAAACATTTCTTGAATTTCTCAAATTATGTTCCACAGAAGAACGAAATTCATACAGGTTTGGAATGACATCATGTTGAGTAGGCCTAAATGATGACAATTTTCGGTCCCACTTTATATTAAGTGGCCTTAACTACTATGTACTTACATTTTAATTAATCATTTGGTACAATGCACTTATTGTGTACATACATGTTTTTACATTGTACTTATATTTTAAAAATACCTGCATGTAATTACATCTGTAATTAATTTCTGTAATTACATTTATAATTACACTGTTGACCCATCCCTTACACCTTAACCCACCCTTAATCCTACCCATACCACCAAACCTGTCCCTAACCTTACCCACATCCCACCTCAATAGCAGCAAAAGTGTTTTGCAATACAATATGAACACAATAAGTACATTGTACTTATTTTTGATGTAAGTACATAGTAGTTAAGGCCACTTAATATAAAGTGGGACCAAATTTTAATTTCTGGGTGAATCTCCCTTTAAAAACTTTATTATTTGTAAATAATAAGCACCTAATTTATATAAGACACTGATATTATCTTTAATCAGGCCCTTATTGAATTAACATTTTACTTCAATTAAAATTCATTAGAACCTAACATCTAAAAATAAGTTCTTGTTTAGAATCCAGAGTTTAGCTGACTATAGTATTAGTAGGATGGTGGTCACAAGAAGTAAAACCATGGTCCTCATTACCATGGTTATATGGTTTTAATAAGTAATAATAAACTATAAAATTTGTAGTTAAAAAAAAACTAAACATGAAGAAACTACAAAACAGCTTCTATGAAATTAAAATATCCCCCAATATGTAATAACAGTAACATTTATGATAAATACATTTCTGCCAACACATAGGCTATTTGTACAGTGTTAATAACTTCAAGTTAAATTGCTATGGTGCTGAATTGACAAGCCTATTGATGTTTTCCATTATACCTCATTGTCGTGGCTGTTTTCAGCCAGCATCACAACAGAACCTTTAATGTTCTCATATCACACGACAGTATAACAATTCTGTGTCACATCTGAATGGATCAAGTGAGTTGCGCTGTTTATCATTTGTAAATTGTGGCAGAAGCGCGGCGCACGGTGTTACGGAAGAGGTCTGACACAACAGGTTAGTTTATATACAAAAGCGTTTATTAGGTCACAGTGAGTACTGGTGTCGGGTCCGGAGGAAGTGATGGTGAGGGAAAGGTCCGTGAGAGAGTGCAAAGGATATGGAGAGTGGAGTAATCCGAGTCTTTGGCTTGATGGAGGCTGGAAGGGATACGGGGGAAGCACACACCTCAGCGATCCGGGAACTAGGAGATACAGGAGACACTTGGAGACGAGGAGACACTAGGAGGAACACAGGAGGTAAGTAATGCAAGAAGTATTCAAAGGAATTCAGTAGCAAAGTCATTGAGTCCTCTACGTGTAAACGAGACCGGACAGTGAGGGTGTCTGAGGTGTGTGCTTTTATGCAGGCTGGTAATGAGGTGCTTGATTGGTGACAGGTGCAGGTGCTCAGAACTCAGGTGAGAGGGATCGTTGTGATTGGGTGGTGGCGGAGCCTGGCCGATCTGTTACACACGGCTTTTGGAGTATTTGCTTTATGCGATTTCGCATGCGCTGTAATTTAAACAGCGTCTAATATCGGGGAGGTCTACCTCGTTTCGCCAATCGGCCCACTACTTGAATGGAATGTCCCGGTGCTCCCGATGGCCAGTATGCGATCGCGGGCCCCCCAGACCTCTGGGCCCTATGCACTCTGTCACCCTTTTTCCCCCACTAGCGACGCCCCTGCTCATATTGTGGGTTCATGAACAGCCAGGGTCCTGTAGTACCTTTGAGGTCCTGTGAATGTTTTGGGATCAAAGCATGGGTCACACTAGCCAGTCCATCTTGAGAAGACCAGATATGTCAGTAACCAAACTTTGTGTACCTTTATTTAAAGGACTGGTGCAACCCACACTTTCAATCTCATGTCCTTAATTGAATCCCATTAGTGTTTGGTCAGTTTGTGTTTGTCTATAATTGTGACTTACATAAGGTTGAGACAGCATTTTTATGAGTCATCAATGCTGAAACTAGTGTTGTCAAAAATATAGGTTTTCTGATACTTATTGATACTGAAATATCTAAAACAGTTTCAATACTCTTCTTCTCACAGTCTTGATAAACTGATACCAGCTGATATCAGTTCAAGCATTTCTATCTTTTTTTTATTCAGTCAGCTGGATGCCTTTGTCCATATTAGGGATTTCCTGGAGCGTCATCAGTTCTATTACTTCTACTAGACATATTTAGAGTTTCTGTCCAATGGCACCCTCTGGCTTACAGTATGGATGAAACATACATTACATGTGTTTAGCATGCAAATTGCAGGTGTGTGAGGTGTCGTCATTTATATTGGAGTGATTGCAATATATTCTAAATAGTGCTGTCAAACGATTAATCGAGATTAATCACATCCAAAATAAAAGTTTTTGTTTATATAATAAATGAGGGTGTACTGTGTATATTTATTATGTATATATAAATACAAACACATGCTTTGTATATATTTAAGAAAAATATGTTATGTTTATATATTACGTGACGTGACGTGACATGACATGTGGCCAAGTATGGTGACCCATACTCGGAATTAGTGCTCTGCATTTATCCCATCCAAAGTGCGCGCACACACACACACCGTGAACACACACCCGGAGCAGTGGGCAGCCATTTATGCTGCGGCGTCCAGGGAGCAGTTGAGGGTCCGGTGCCTTGCTCAAGGGCACCTCAGTTGTAGTATTGAAGGTGGGAGAGAGCGCTGTACATTCACTCCCCCCACCTACAATCCCTGCCGGTACGAGACTCGAACCCACAACCTTTGGGTTATGAGTCCGACTCTCTAACCATTAGGCCACGACTTCCCCCATATATTAAATATATTTATATATAATATAAAATATAATAATATAAATATATAAATGTATATCCAGCGATATAGTCTCTGCTTCGTGACCGGCAGCCCCTTGGAGAGGCCTCCGAAACATACAAAGAGCTGCTCTGAATGACTGAAAAGACCAGAGCACTCAACATAGACTCTGAGAGCCTGCACTGGGCAGAGTACATTGGGATCCTGTTCACCATCTGCACTAGAAGAGTGATAACTTGAGGTCTGAACGAGAGTACTTTCGGCATGTAGCCATGTCTTGGCTTGAGGACGACTTTACAGTCGTTAGGCCCAGACTCAAGACAGGAAGCACTGACTGACAGCGCCTGCAAGTCACCCACTTGCTTGACCGAAGCTAATGCCAAAAGGAGGGCGGTCTTAAGCAACATGGGCCGCAGATCAGCCGACTGAAGCGGCTCAATGGGAGGGCCCTGTAGGGCTCTAAGGAATATGGACAAGTCCCAAGTCAGCACAGTGTGAGGATGAGGCAGATTCAATCTCGAGCTCCACTCAGAAACTTAACGACTAGGTCATTTTTGCCGACTGAGTGGCCAGCTTCAAGGGAATGATTCGCTGCGATAGCTACCACATAGACTTTGAGCATGGACGGGGTGCACCCCTTGTCCAGTAGGTCTTGGAGAAAGGTTAACACATGGAATTTGTCACACAAGGACGGGTCCAGGCTGTGTGTTGTACACCAATCAGAAAAGACCAATCATTTCTGGCCATAAAGGCATCTTGTAGACGGTGCTCTAGACTCTAAAATGGTATTAGTCACACTCACAGGGAGCTGCAAAGGCTCCCGTCAAGGGGCCAAACATGAAGGCTCCACAGCTCTGGCCTGGGGTGCCAAATCATGCCCTTCACTTGCGAGAGGAGGTCTTTCCCCAGTGGTATTGGCCAAAGGGCTGTTGATGACAGCTAAATCAACTTGGGGAACCATACTTGGTTCCTCCAGAGTGGGGCCACCAGAAGGACCGAGAATTTGACTTCCCTGATCAGTCTGATGACCTGAGGCAGCAGGGCAATAGGGGGGAAGGTGTACAGGCGAGTGCTGGGCTCAATTTATTTTTCCTCGCTGTCTGGAAAAATAAATTGGCCAGTGAGAGTTGTCTTGTAAGGCGAAGAGGTCCACCTCTGCCTCGCCTAAGACCGACCAGGGCTGCATTTCCCAAAAGCATAGTAAGCTTAAGTACATCTTAGACCCAGAAACCAATGGAGTTACGATCAACTTAGGCTTACGATGCTTTTGGGAAACGCAGCCCAGATCATTTGAACCATCTGGGGATGTAGTCTCCATTCTCCTGGAGACACATTGTCCCTGAACAGCATGTCTGCCCCTTGGTTCAATCTGCCTGGCTCATGAACCTCTCTTAGCGAGAGGAGTTTGCCTTGTGCCCATAACAGCAGGAAACGAGTCAACCCTTGAAGGGAGAGTGACACCTGAGACCACCTTGGTGATTGGTGTAGGCTACCACCGTCATGTTGTCTGAACGGGCCAGGATTTTGTGCCCCCTTAAGGCCGGTAGGAAGGTTTATAGGACTAAACAGACTGCCTTCATTTCAAGGCAGTTGATGTGCAGGCGTCCCTCCAGTTCTGACCAGGAGCTGAACACCAGTTTTCCCTCATACAGAGCACCCCAACCAGGGTTAGAGGCATCTGTCATGACCACCTTCCGTCTGGAGGTCAGTTCCAATGGGACACCTGATTGAAACAGGCGAGAAGTTTTCAAAGGGACCACGGTTCTGATGCAGCAGTGAGTTACCCTGACATAAAACCGGTCCAGGCACCATGTGTGGGATGGGACATGGGCTTTGAGCCAAAATTGGAGGGGCGGCATGTTGAGCAGGCCCAAAAGAATCACAGAGGTGGTGGCTGACATGAGGCCGAGCATCCTCTGGAAAGCCCTGAGGGGACATGAAGCCCCTAATTTGAAAGATGCCACCAATCGCTGATTAGTCAGGGAACATTTCAGCATAATCCAAACCTGCATTTGGGCTGAATCGATAATCGCCCCCAGAAAGACCACTCTCTGTCTGGGAGACAAACAGCTCTTGGCTAAATTGATTTTCAACCAAATTTGATTTGCTCCAGATCAGAGTATGTGAGCGGAGTGAAACGTCAACAATTTCCCCTCCGCGCTCAGAGCATTTAAAAATCACTCCGCTCCAGCTCCACTCCGGGTTCACCATTTCCTGCTCCCGCTCCACTCCGCGCTCACTGAAATCAGAAACACTGCTCCGCCTTCACCCTTCACTCCGCGGCTAAAGTATTTCAGTTTGTTTGAAATATCACAGTTCTGTTCATAACATATTAAATATAAAATAAATAAAATAACAGGAGAATTTAAAAGTGGCTTATTGGAACACTAGTGTGCAAACTTTTTTCCTACCACATGACAAGCTAATAACATTAAAAGTAAAAGGTATAATTGCTGCTTTTTGCGGTGCAAATTTTGTTTGTGATGAAAATAACAGTACGTTTACGTCAGATATTTTACATACGGATCGATGCATTTCTTACAGATTTCTGCTCATTCGAAATCGGATACAGATGTAGCACTGTAAGATTACATTTGTTTGAATGCACTATTAAGAGAGCGATTGCGTGTTATAGTACTTGTTTAAATCATGCTTTCAGCTGAAAATTTTCAGTATCTAGAAGGAACAAACAAATTCCTTGAGAACTATAACTTCCCGCTCATGTCCATTGCCGTCATCATAGCCTTCACATTCTTTCTGATTTAAGTGATCCCTATCAAGCTAGCTAAATATATTTAACATGTGAATTCTTGCTAAATATGCAGTTATATGACGGGCCGTTGGCATTAATTGCACTCGTGATGGAGCGGTGGTGGAGCGCTCTTGGAGCAAGTGAAAACCATGACACTCCGACTTTTAAAAAATCCACTCCTCGCTCAATTCAAAATCACACCGCTCCACTCCGCGCTCCGCTCACATACTCTGCTCCAGATAGCTGAGCAGCAGTGACCTGTGAGCAGTGAATTCCTGTTCTGATCTGACTAACACCAGCCAGTCGTCAAGGTAATTCAGAATGCGGATTCCCATCTGCCTCAGAGGGGAAAGAACCACGTCTATGCACTTTGTAAATTTGCGTGGGGCCAGAGACAGTCCGCAGGACTGTGTAGTGTTAGGCCACTCCTTCAAATGCGAATCTCAAGAACAGTCTGTGATGGCAGGCTATCTGAATGTGTAAGTAAGTGTCTTTCAGATCCACTGATAGAAACCAATCCTAGTTGGCCTATCTGCGTGAGGAAATAATTTATTATTTATTTATTTAAAACAAAAACAAAAAATTTGTCACATTGACAAAATATGAACTTGTTCAGTGCCAAGTATTTTTAGTATTTGAATACTATTCAATCAGTATGGAGAAAAAAAAAACATTTATGAACTGTTCAGAAATCTGTATAGAGCAGCTTTATTGTGCAACTTCTCTCTACAGTACTTTCACTGTATAAGTAAGATTGTATACCTCCACTTACCACTGGTTGTCAATAATTAGACAAAAAAAAGTAATGTTCTAACGCATGACACAAAATGCCTGAAAATTTGCTGAATGATTGAGGGTATAATTTACATGAAAGAAAGACGGTAAAACTCTGAAAGGTTTTGGAAGAATATAAGATTGTGCAGCTGTGTATAGCTGCAGATTAGTTCATGAAAACAAGACAGCTTAATTTTATTTCTTTTTACACTTTCCTCTAGGATTTGGACATCAATCCTGTGGTGAGGGACATCATGATGAATCGAACCTTCACCATCATCAGTCTTCACTTTGCCGACTTCCTGAGCCACGACTGGGTTTCCTGGTTCACGGTGAAACTGGTTCCTCTCCTCCCCAGCTTGACTGCAGAGATGCTCCAGACAGTAACATCAAACACAGACTGCAACGCATACCATGCCATGTACGTAGCGCTCCCCAAATGCCAGACAGCACTGTAACACGTGCCTTACAGCACTCTCAGAGGGAAGGAGAGGATATTTCTTCAGCATGTTTAGTGAGTGATGAGAAGACGCGCTAAACGGGCGTCATCCTTACCTTTTCTTTTGATCTTTCCACTATAGCGTTGGTCGTCTGAACAGCGTCTTTGACCAGATGACTTCGCTGAGACAGCAGGAGCTCACCCCAGTCATGTTGGGCTACCTGAAGCAGAGTCACCCGTGGAGTAAGTTCATCGAGGGTGTGGCGCTTTGTTTGGCTTGCGTGCTGAAAGACAGTGCTGGTCTGCGTTTGTAAATTAATTTGTCTCCTAATGAGTCTTTTCTGTGCATCATTGCTGCAGGCTCAACCTGTGGGTCCGGCACCGGCAGCCTCAGCGCCTGGCTTGAGGAGAGCTTTGGCAAATTCTCCATCTATGTGGATTACCAAGACCTGCGTGACCTCAACTCAGGCTTTGACAGCGTAAGGAGGCCACCGTGCTAAACAATTGCTCCCTTGACTGTTGTGGGCAACCATGTCATTTGAAAAATGGTGTTGTTTTTTCTTCTGCAGTTTGAGTCTTTGGACCTTCTGAGCACTTCTCAAGTTGCTCAGCTGACACTACACTCTGGAGCGCTGAACAACGCAAACCTGATAGAAATGGTCTTTGATCGTCTAGAGGGCGGCAACTCTTTCCAGGATATTGAAGAGTTCTTCGAGGCTCTCACCCGGACCTCACAGGTGTGTTCTCGTCACTAAGATGGCAAATGTTCTGTGGACCCACAGGAAAAAATTCCATTCAAACGATAGTTGTGACATGATTTCAAAAGTGAAAATGTATTTTTATTTGTCATTTCCTCTAGGATTTGGACATCAATCCTGTGGTGAGGGACATCATGATGAATCGAACCTTCACCATCATCAGTCTTCACTTTGCCGAATTCCTGAGCCACGACTGGGTTTCCTGGTTCACGGTGAAACTGGTTCCTCTCCTCCCCAGCTTGACTGCAGAGATGCTCCAGACAGTAACATCAAACACAGACTGCAACGCATACCATGTCATGTACGTAGCGCTCCCCAAATGCCAGACAGCACTGTAACACGTGCCTTACAGCACTCTCAGAGGGAAGGAGAGGATATTTCTTCAACATGTTTAGTGAGTGATGAGAATATGCGCTAAACGGGCGTCATCCTTACTTTTTCTTTTGATCTTTCC